TTTGTTTATTCAGGAATAAACTCAGTCGACAATCTGCCACAGAGCAAAGGAGAAGAGAGACCAGAGCGAGACTAGAGACCAGAGACCAGAGAGAGACCAGAGAGAGACTAGAGACCAGAGACCAGAGAGAGACCAGAGAGAGACTAGAGACCAGAGAGAGACCAGAGAGAGACTAGAGACCAGAGAGAGACCAGAGAGAGACTAGAGACCAGAGAGAGACCAGAGAGAGACCAGAGAGAGACTAGAGACCAGAGACCAGAGAGAGACCAGAGAGAGACTAGAAACCAGAGAGAGACCAGAGAGAGACTAGAGACCAGAGAGAGACCAGAGACCAGAGAGAGACCAGACCGAGACCAGACCGAGACTAGAGACCAGAGCGAGACTAGAGACCAGAGAGAGACCAGAGAGAGACCAGAGAGAGACCAGAGAGAGACTAGAGACCAGAGAGAGACCAGAGAGAGACTAGAGAGAGACTAGAGACCAGAGAGAAACCAGAGAGAGACTAGAGACCAGAGAGAGACCAGAGAGAGACTAGAGACCAGAGAGAGACCAGAGAGAGAGACCAGAGAGAGACCAGAGATAGACCAAAGAAAGACTAGAGACCAGAGAGAGACCAGAGAGAGACCAGAGAAAGACCAGAGAGAGAGACCAGAGAGAGACCAGAGGGAGAGACCAGATAGAGACTAGAGACCAGAGAGAGACTAGAGACCAGAGAGAGACCAGAGAGAGACCAGAGAGAGAGACCAGAGAGAGACCAGAGAGAGACCAGAGAGAGACCAGAGAGAGACCAGAGAGAGACCAGAGAGAGACCAGAGAGAGACCAGAGAGAGACCAGAGAGAGACTAGAGACCAGAGAGAGACCAAAGAGAGACCAGAGAGAGACCAGAGAGAGACCAAAGAGAGACCAGAGAGAGAGACCTGAGAGAGACCAGAGAGAGACCAGAGAGACCAGAGAGAGACCAGAGAGAGAGACCAGAGAGAGACCAGAGAGAGACTAGAGAGAGAGACCTGAGAGAGACCAGAGAGAGACCAGAGAGACCAGAGAGAGACCAGAGAGAGACCAGAGAGAAAGACCAGAGAGACCAGAGATAGACCAGAGAGAAAGACCAGAGAGAGACCGGAGATTGAGGCCAGATATAGACCAGAGAGAGAGACCAGTGAGACCAGAGAGAGGTTGAGGAAAAGTTCAAGAAAAGGCTCTTTGGTCATTTCTGGTGCTGTGCTGCCGCTCGGTGGTCGCGGGCGGTACTGCAGGAGACAGCCCCGGGAGCAGCACATACACAACTATCCAATGGTTAAGGGGACTTTTGCCTCAACACAACACAACAGTGAATATCAAGATTAGCACAAATCTATACTTTTTGCTTAATAAAGTACTATAAATATAGATATACTGTAGTGAGAGGAAATACGTGTGAGTTTACATCTGTAGACACATCTGTGGTATACTCCAGAGCAACTGTTTTTGCTGAGAGAGCCAAAAAGGTTTCATAGAGAGGGCCTGGGTTCGAATCCTGGTCAGAACAGGGCCTTTCTGAGTGGAGTTTGCATGTTCTCCCCGTGTCTGTGTAGGATTCCAGGTGCTTTTTTCACAGTGATGAAAATACTGTACATTTTTTCCCAGCATGAGACTATGGGATGTATGCCTTTCTTTAAAAAAACAGCCGTAGTTCCTTCTGAGACTCTGTGTTCAGACCCTGGGAACTGTCCCCAAACGCACCTACATCATGAAACCAAAACATTTCTGTCTTTTCTTAACATTTTCAAAAGCGTTCAAGACAAATCTCCTGCAGAAAGAGGCCTCGGCGACGTGCTTCATCATTCCTCTCCAGCTTTATTTACTGTTGTTTCCATCACTCACAGAGAATATAAAATATGACTGTGCCGCCCCCCCCCAGCCGCCCCCCCAGCCATCCATCATCCAGGGGGTATTAATCACAGAGGAGCTCCCAGATCCACTTTGCTGGGCTTTTAGAGATGATCACTTTCTCATCAGTGCGGACGTGACAATGTGACCAATCCACGTTCTGATGTGTTCTGCATAAAACAAATGACAAACGTGGACAGAATAATACGAAACAGGCAGAAGGAGGTTTGGCAAAATGCAGAGAGAGGAGTTTAGATTCTGGGAGTCAAGTGTGAGTGCTGCTTGAAGGTAGATAGGAGGATTACCCCAATTGTATTCGTTTTTCACTCTTTGAACCAAATTCTCTGGTCTTATTTGACGCATGTATCACCAGAAGGATTGACAATTAGGAGGACCAATAATCTTGATGATCCACCCGGAAGTATATGTCTTCAAGAGGCAATTTCAATTTCTAATGTACAGTCGTCTCAGAGGGCTTTACCAAGTTGGTTCCTTTACAAAGTTGTCGATCAGAGAATGAGATAAGATAAGATTGGAGATATTTACACGTCACATTTGGCATGAATAGGAACACTCAGGGTGTGCAAGAAGAAAAGAAGACAGGAAGTGTGCAAGGAATTTTAGATACGATTAAAAGTTTAAACTTAGTCATTGCAATAACACCAAACACATAGGAGCCATTGGTCCAAAGGGAGCAGGACGACCACTGTCTTAAGACCCTCCTGCATCGGTGAAAGAACAACTCCGAACCCAGTGGATAAAAGTGAGAAACCCCGAGGAGACCCATATCCAGAGAGAGATCTGCTCCCACAGACGCACAGGCTGTAGACCCATTCATTGACCACAAAAGACTATAGTCTCGGGGTAACTGGTAACTTAGACCTTCTGAAAGTTCCCCAATGTGGGACAAGATTGAGATGCTCCACCTATTGTAAATCCACACATAAAACATACAGATATTTATATTTATCTGTATGTTTTTAATGTGGAGCGCTTTGTGATCCTGGTCTGTGAAAGGCGCTATACAAATAAACTTTACTTACTTTCTTTCTGTAGAATCCAGTCTGAGCCATCTCCAATGACTTCACAGGAGTTATGTTGGTCCTTGTGGTCAGTGTTGGGAAAGTTACTACTAAAGTTACTACAAAAAGACTAGGCACAATACATTATGAATGACTTCTTACTGTTATTTTAAAGTGAAGCATTATTACAATATTATTTGTTCTGAATTGTAAAGAATGACATTACTCCTGCATTACTTTTAAATTCACTTTCCCCAAATACATACCTGTAAATACAATCTAAAAGTAGCTTATGCTCTCAGTGCATAGCTCAGACCCATTCACTTTTATTAGTATAAATTGACGTTTCTTTTTGACATCCAAAATTGTTAAACTTCTGTCCAATGTGAATCTATTTGGCCTTATTATTCCTCATTAAAGCGTGGAACAGCCTGATCCAGTCAAAGCTGTTTTATAATCTGTGTTGTTGAGCTGCAGTGGCCCTATAACAGTAACTCCATACATACTTTTACTCTCAACACTGCTTGTGGTGTGACTTTTATGTACTCAAAGTGTTATAACTCATTGTTGGCAAGAACAGATGAAGCCAGGTCACAAAGGCATTCGGCAATTTTCAAATCGTTCAAAAACTCCCCTGACTTCTGAGTTAGAAATCAAAGCAGCAGCACAAGAAGAAGTCCTCTGCTCCGGCTTCAAAGTCTCAGCTGTAAGTTCTGGAAGGCGGCGTTCTCTGACTCTTTGGAAGTGGCGTCTCTTCCACATCTCTTTCCCCTGACACTGCTTTTTGTGCGTTAGCAGCAGATTCTCCTCCTCGGGCCTTTCTCCTGTGATGAAGGAGCTGTGGAGTCTTCGATCTCAGAAAGCACGACTCTTTTTATACACTACACATGCTGCTGAGGTCAGAATGCAGGAGAGGGTGTATATAGGGTGGTTATATTGTGTTGAGAGGGCGTTTGGCTCTACAGTGCCATCTGCTGGTGTTTTCCAAGAACATGAAGATTTTGATCATGGAGAATATTACCATCGCTCCAAGACTGAAAGACGATAAAGTAGAAGAAGAACGGGACAAATGGAAGATTTGTAAGACGTAACTGCTCCATTGGAATATGGGCTATAACTGTGAAAAGTTTGCTATGGTCAAATTGTGGACGTCGCACTGTAAAAAGTCGTGAAAAACAAGCCAAAGATTGCTCAAATTCAGCAAAATGTTTTCTGATTTGGGCACATTCTGACTGAGCCCTAGAACAAGATTTGCCAATGAGACAAACAATTGTTTTAATGTTTCAAAAAGATGCAAGAAATGCCTCTTGGAATTAGAGAATAGTTCCTGAAATAAGACTTAGTCCCATTGTTGAATCTTGTTTCAAGACGTTAAGAATTTACCCACTTGATTCAAGCATTTATTACCCTGTATTTAGATTTTTTGCAGCATTGACTTTTTTTCTTTCAAGAAAGTGCAGCCTTTGAACGACAGCTGAACGCTCACATCTCGCTCCAACGACTAAATATTTTCTCACCAATTTCAAATGTGTTTCCCTGTATATATTTGTAATAAACTGAACCCTGCTTGAATCATTAAAGAGACGTCGCTACACTGTGGCATTTCTTTAATAAAAACATTTGCCAAAAGGAATGGGGGGGAAGGGGACAACATGATTTTGTACAAAAAAAGACCTGGAGTTCTGGGTTGTTGCTCATGATTTTACATCTAGTGGCAAATAGGCATGAGAGAAATACAAAGTCAATAATAATAATACACCGCCTTTGTCCTTTGTCGTTCCTTATTTACTGCAGGTGAAGTGCTACCAGTTCTTTGCCCCTGTGCTCCACCAGATGGCGCCCTGTCCCATAACTCATGATATTCCTATGTGTGCAGACAGAGCACGGATTCACTCATTCATTTAGTTTCCCAGAGCTAAAACCCGCCCCACCGTCAGTCCGTGGTGCGTAACAATACTGTCTTTCCCCTGAATCCAGGGTAAAAGGCCGGGATTCAAAAACGGCCCCGCCCCGACACGCTCTAAAACGTCTGTGTTTAATTTAAAAGACAGCAGAGATTATTACAAAACACTATGAAATCGCCGAGCGCCAGAAAAGCTCTCGTGTCCGCGTCAGAACGGCAGCCCTCGTCCTCTGATGGCGGCCGCGGCGTTGACGTGCGGAGGGTATCCCAGGGGCAGCGGGGGGGCGGCGGCCGGCAGGGGCTGAGGCTGAGGGGGGGGGCCGTCCTTGCGGGCCATGGCATGGTTGTACAGGTGGATGGCGTTGGGGTTGGGCTGCGTCTCCACCGGGAGCGGGCTGTGGTTGTACTCGAAGCGGTGGTCCTTGTCGCCGGAGAAGAGGACGCTGTGGTAGTGGTCAGAGTGTGCTGAGGGGTGGGGGGCGGAGGAGGAGGTGGAGGAGGAGCTGGGGGGGCCCTGAGCGGAGCCTCCAAACACCTCCCGGAGCGCGTGGGGAGGCAGCCCGCCCCCCATCATGTGACCCATGTAGCTGTCGCCGAAGCCCGCGGGAGGGAAGGACGGAGGAGGGGGCTGGCTGTAGTCTGTGGCTGCGGGGAGGGCCGGGGGCAGGGCTGGGGGGAGGGTAGAGGGGGGAGCGGCCGGGTCTCCTCCAGGGGGCGGCAGAGGGGGGGCCAGGCCTGAGGGCGCGTCAGACGGAGGCTGTCTGTAGTCCAGGTCTGCATGAGGAGGCGGCTCTGGGGGCTCAGGAGGACGCTGGTCTGGAGGTAGAATGGGCACGACCCCCACCTCCGAAACTGAGAGAAGAAGGTTCACAGATTACAAAACATCTTCAAGATTCAGTCACAACCACAGTGACTTTTCTAATAATCAGTCGTCCTGTCCTCGACTTCTGATCAGGGACAGAAGAGTTTCTGTTCAGTATAATTTGAAAAATGGTTTTGTGAAGCACTTTATCGTCAATGTATTTAGTAAAGTATAATCTATGTGTCTGGTGCACACTGCCGTAATTTTGCACATCATTCCAATGTGGTTTTGTTGTAAATGGCAAAAGACCGAATCTGAATAAGTACCAATGTGATTCATAATGTCCTAAATATGGACCTTTTCTTATCACTTCTGAGCAGAACTTCACAAATCAATAGTTTCATAACATGACACTAGTGAGGACTGATCACACAGATAAGATAGCTATGATTAGAGGAAATTTACTTGTTTTAAGCTAAAATATCTGCCGTGAACACTTTTTGAGAAACAAGTTGTTTTAAGCAGGAAATACAATAAGTCTTCTTGTCAGGTTTTTATTGTCTTATTATAAGATATTTGTGCTTGGAGAAGTATTGCTTAGAAACCAACAGGGTTAGAGCCAAACTTGCTTAAAACTAGTAGGAAAGATTAAAACACTACAGTCTTCAGTGGTCTACAGTCTGTACCTGGAGACACGGGGCTGGGTTCTGGAGGCTGCTGGGCGTCCACTGTTGCGGAGGTCCCACTGCTGTTCTCTGCTGCTTCTGCTGCGTCACTGAGCTCCTGCCACTGCTGCTGCTGCTGCGCCTGCTGCGTCTGCTGCGTCTGCTGCGCCTGCAGGAGCTGGGCCAGGAGCATGGTCATGGCTGTCTGTGTGGCTGCGACCTCTCCGTCCGGGATGTAGGTCGGAGCAGGCGTGGGAGGAGAAGGCGGCTTGGGCATGGGGGGTGTGCGAGGTACTCCGGCGGGGGGCGGGGCCTTCACCGGGGCAGGCTGAGGAGGTGGCTCGGTGGGCTCTGCGGGGGCCAGGGCCTTGGACAGCTGCTGGAGCGTCTCCTGGTTCACCTTGGAGCCCATGGCCTGGACGAACTGGGCCGTGTTGGCCGCGCTCTTGGTCTGTCCCAGGAAGTTCAGCAGCACCGCCAGCTGCTCCTGAGTCAGCTGCGAGTTTGGGCCTTTAGGATCTGTGCAGCAGCGAGAGTGTGATTCAGGAGTAGAAGTTACCACAATATTCTGAACAATATCAGCAGTGAGCGGCAAAGCTGTACATGAGTGAGTAATAACAAGCTGTGTATTATATCCATCTGTAAATACTGTTATTGGAGGAAAATAAGTACCACAGCTTTAAACTCCACCAAGAGACACTGCTCAGAATTATGTTTGAGTTTGTTTGACCTCTGCTTTTAAAGATGCAGAGAAGCAACTTTATAGCAATAATAAAAACAAACTAAATACATTTCAGTAAGATAAGAACCATTATGTGTCCCACAGTGGGAGCATCGATTCAAAAGGTCTATAACCATGTGTGATTGGAATGTTTTTAATTACTATACTTTTAAATTACTATACTTTTAAATTACAATAATATTTTTAATATTTCTTGTGATCTTAATGTTTTTTTGATTGGGTTTTTTTTGTATATTTTGATGTTTCTGATTTACGCCTGATGTGATATTGGTTGTGAGGTGCTTTGTGTTGCCTTGTTTTGAGGCTATAGCTGCATATGCAGACTTGGTTCTTTCGACTCACCCAGCAGAGCAGAAGCAGCGGCGCTCTGAGCTTTGAGAGCCCCAGAGGCGGGGAAGCTCTGGGGGGTGTTGCTGCGGCTGTCGTCCAGTCCCAGCTCTTTGCGGGGGGCTTTGGGGGCGGCCAGCTCCTCGGGCATCTGCTTCTGCCGCCGCCGCTTCTTACTCCACAGCTCATGACAGTCCTGCCACAGAGGAAGACTGGGGGAGACAGACCAGTGAGAACAGAACCATGGGACAGGGTGTGATGCTGCACTGAGGACACGTACTCTGGGGGGGGCATCTTGTCTGGGTCCACGTCCTTCAGGAACTCGCTGCCCAGGGCCTGCTCCGCTGTGCACCGTTTACTGGGATCCAGGTTCAACATGTGGTCGAACAGATCCAGGGCAGCGGGAGAAATACTGGGAAAGTACACATTTGGATTTAGTGATTGCAGAAATACTGTGTTCCTTATACACTTCCAATTAAACCTGATTAAAGATTAAGAGATCCTTTTATTGATTCCACAGTGGGGAAAATAAGAAGGAGCAAACGCAAGACAAATTAACTAAAATGAAATTCTCTAAGTTAATGATTAAATTAACAACAACTCTATATTAAAATAAAAATCTCTAACTTGAGCATTAAAAAAGAAGCCATTATTAACTTAAATGACAGCAGCAGTGGGTTTAAAGAGTTTTAGTCCTTGCCGATGCAGGTGTTTTATATTTCTTGTGTTTGATTCTCTGATCTGTGAAGTTATGTAAAGTCCTCAGAGAAAACTTGACTGTTGACTATGCAATAATAAAAAGAATGGAATTGAATAAAAAAGCACTCACAAGGCAAACTCCTCTCGTAGTCGTCTCCTGTATTGTTTCTTTGGTTTCATGGTGTTGAAGAAAGGAAGCTTTATGACATCGGGCCAAACAGCAGGACACGGACTCCCACAGATCCGACTGAAGGCAGAAACGTGTCAGTCAGAAAAGAAAACAGAAATAGACTTCATCTCAAAAGGTTCTTCTTCAAACCTAATGAGCTCCAACTGGGCCAGTTCTTGGTTTGCCTGGAAAATTGGTCTCTTGGTGAAGAGCTCTCCAAGAATACACCTGCAGAGATCGGGTTGATTAGAACAATATTCAAGAATGTCAATCACCATTGGGACTTCAAACATAAATGAAACACTTACTTGGAAATAACAAAAGAGATATGGACAGATGCAGTTTTCTTCATCATTACACAGAAGATATTTTATTTTCTTTCACCTCAACATTTGGATATAGACAGACCCATATAAGGGAACCACAATGGTAAATAGAAGTGCTTCTCTTTTTTTTTTTATAAAACCGTGTTGTGTACAAAAGGTAAAAAAGTACAATAGGTTTTAGTGCTCGCAATATTCCTGTTTTTTCTGTAATGGGCTTACAGTTTCTGGCTATTAAAGTTACCTCAACATTTGTATATAGGGCCCTTATGTCCATATAAGGGAACCAAGATAGTACTAATAAAGCCTGGAGCAGTGTCCAAACGTAAGAAAAAGTACTTTAATGACACCTCGCTCCCATCTCTGTGGAGTTGGAGAATGCCCAAAAATAACAATCGTAAAGCGCTTTGTGACTGAGAAAGGCGCTATATAAATAAATATGACTTACTTACACCTATACTTAGTTACTATAGTGACCATGTGTTACTGCTCTCAATGAACATGTTTCTTACCCGCAGCTCCAGACGTCGATGGCGGGGGTGTACCTCTCCTCCCCCAGCAGCAGTTCTGGGGGACGATACCATAACGTAATCACCTTGTTGGTGTATGGCCGACTGGAAAAGAAACGCATCACAATTATTCAAATGCAATCATGAGCATTCCACGCATTTTGAGCTGATAAAGTATAAGTAGAAAGACATATTGAAATTGTAAATATAGCAAAACATGATGAAACTATGGCAAATACTGTTGCTCGATTGGATATTTATGTATTTATATATTTGCATGTGTGAACTGTAAGTGCAGTAGGCAACCGAACAATGTAAAAAAAAGTATCTCCAAAATACTAATTTAAAACTATATTTTTTATAACTAACAAAATCCAAGTGCAGTGGCTTCTATACACCATGAAAGTGACCGTCATTCGCTCACCTTTCCTCTGAGTTATACAGCCGAGCGAGCCCAAAGTCTGCCAGCTTTATCTGACCTCTGAGAACACAAACGTCAAAGATAAATAACAACCCAAACAAACAACTAGAGGGCGGCCATTTTATAAATATATCATAGTTTAAGGAGTTCACATCAAAAGCTCAAGGTGTAGCTTAAAAAAACCCCAAAGATGTACGCATTTCTGAATCTGTAAATAATGTATTGTGTGCGTGTGTGTGTGTTGTCAGAATGTGTGTATGACTGTGTTGCATTGTTGGGAAAATTAGCATTAAGTAACTGTGGCTACGTTGCCCTGTCAAATACATACATAAATACAAATACTTTTACTACACACTTGTTATTGAGCAGAATGTTGGAACACTTGATGTCCCTGTGCAGGAAGTTTTTCTTGTGGCAGTAATCGAGGCCCTCCAGCAGCTGGCGCATGAACGACTTTATATGGCTCTCGTTGAAATGGACCAGGCCAGACTCCAGCAGACCCATCAGGTCGTGGTCCATGTATTCAAATACTAAGTAAAAAGCACCTAAAGAAGAAGAAGAATCCACGTTTTCAGAAAGGTTCTCATGGTCAACATTCATACACACACTCGTCTCGGTACCTTTATCGTTTTTAAAGTCCAGCGCGTCCTCCTTGTCAGTGACGATCTCCTTCATGTTGATGATACTTTTGTGGTTGAGTTGTCGCAGGATTTTGATCTCTCTGATTGCAGTGATTGGGAAGCCCTCCTTTTCGTTATCGAGCCTGACCTTCTTCAAAGCCACCATTTCAGCTGTTTACAAGTTAAAACATTAGAATCAATGTGGCATGTCAAACATTCCTGACCACATTCTCTGCATACTCACCAGTGTCTCTGTCTTTCGCCTTGTACACCTGCCCGTATGTGCCTTCTCCCGTGATGCCGATTATCTCAAATTTGTCTACGCAGCGTTTTCCCCAGTCGATCTCGATCTCTTTAATCTCACCATACCTGGGCCCACATATTCTGAAAAGAGACACTGGTAAAACAGAGGCATGATGTCTGTGGCATGCGTGTACAGAGATCTTCATACTTGGGTCTACTTCGGACAGTTTGAGACTTCTTCTCGTCGGCTGGACTGTGTGGAGACGAGGTGCCACCAGGAAGCTCAGGAGGCAGCGGCAGATCTGTTAAAAGTGTCCGAGCTTTCCTCTCGGACTTCTTCTTCCCTGAGAGTATGTTGTCCTTTGAACTAATGAAGAAAGGCATATGTTAAACAAGTATAACAGACATTACTTCTGGACTTTAAGCTGCTACTTTCGTCAAGTTCTTCTTTGGACCCTTCTTTGGAAGTTTTAGTCACTATCCGACAGTTTTTTATTGTCAAAATTGACTGGTGAATGAGTAATGGGAGCAAATCTATTAAACCCATTCATTAAATGATGTTGTGACCATTTAAAATAGTCGTCTATCTGCAACAATCCATCATGAAAACCTGCAGCTTTTATTCAAGTGCGACCTATATATGGAAAGCATGTACTTTCTTTAAAAAAAAAAAAATAGGTGGTAAGCCTTGTCGTCCAGAAAGTTACAATAATTTGAAGTGAAAATGCTAATACCTGTCTCCCTGGTCTGTGGTCTCGGTAGTTGGAGGCATTGGCAAAGACAACAGATTAGATCCGACTAAAGTAGTGTTTTTGTCCTTTTCCTTGAGTGGTGCTGCTGCCGCTTTCCTCCGGTCCCGCTGTAGTGATTCCTCTTTGCTCTTCCCATCTCGGTCCTTTGTCGTGTGGTGCTGGCTACTTCTCTTGACATGACGTTCTGGGGGAGTCTGCGGTGCGCTCAGTGGAGGAGTCCGAGGGCCTTTCTCTGGAGGTGGGGAAGGAGGTCGACCTTTCCGTGAGGTGTGGTTGGTTTTGGGACTGGGCTGGTGCACGGCTGAGGAGCCCTTGGTCGGAGTAGAAGTGTTGCTAGAGTTCTTGGCTTTGGCTGCTGCTTCGGCAGCTTTAACCTTTTTCTGCTTGCTCAGTTCAGCGGCAAGACTAGATTTGAAGGTGAGTGTGCTTGGCGAGAGGCTTGATGGACGACTGCGAGAGCGAGAGTGACGATGGCGACTACGTGAGCGAGAATGTCTGGAGGTGTAAGGACTTCTGCTGCGAGAGCGGGCAGAACGCCTGAAAAACAGCCAAAGACAAAAGTTAAAGGCTGTAATAAGAGCAGTTACTTTTCTACTCAAAATAAAAATCAACCATGTCTAACCATTAGTAAATGGTAAAGTCTTACCTGACTTCTGGGCTTGGGCTTAAAGACTTCTTGTATGGACTCCTGGACCTCTTACGGCTTGGATAAGGACTCGACCCAAATTCTCCTTGTTCGTAAGGGCTATGTCGTCCATAACTAGGTGACCTTCGCCAGGACTTTGTTGGACTCGCTGGTGAACGTTTCCGTTTGTTGCTAGAGTAAGAACTGGGAGACTTCGAGACACCATAGGAATCTGATTCTCGGTTGTAATAAGTGACAACAGGAGACTGTTTTTTGCTGCTATAAGGTGGACTTCTTCGAGATGCCAGCTGGTTGTAACCAGGAGATTGGTAGTTGTATGCTGTCCCATAGGGACTTTCAGTTTTAACACCTGGGCTCCTTCTGTACGCTCTGAGCTCTTCACGATCTTCTCTGTAAGCCAGAGGAGCCTCTCTATATGCAGATGGGGTTTCTTTCTCAGGTCTCGTTTTACTCCTGTGTCCTTTTGACTCCCTTTTATCTGCAGATTGTGACAACAATGTCTTCTTACCATTTCGGTCACTTCTAGCAGTGTCTCTGTGGTTTTTAGTGCCACTTAAGCTGCCACCACTCCTGGCTTTAGGGTCCTTCTCACGGCTCCGGGGGTCCTTTCTCCTGCTCAGTTCTCTGTCGGGTTTACTCCTTTCAGATGGACCTTTAGTTTGTCCCTTACTGTGGCAAACTGCCTCACGAGTTCTAGACAAACTTTTATCTGGAGATGCAGGTCCGTTATATTTACCCAAGTCCCCGTCACTCAGAGGGTCTCCTGGCAGACTGTCAGCCAGTGGGTCAAGTTTGGGTGACGGGCTCCCAGAAAAGCGCTCCGACTGAGAGCTCACGTCATCGTACTCTACCAATGTCTGCAACTCCGTGTCCTTTCCAAGCACATCTCTTCTGTCATGGTTGTGTTCCCCTGTGAGTCCTGGGCGCCACACGGTCCTGTCCCTGGGCTGTCTGCGCTTCTTCCTCTTGTTTGTGGAAGGGCGCCTCTTGTCACGGCGTGGCTCTCTCTGGCCCCCGCTGCTGCGCCTGTCCTGTCGGTCCTGTCGGTTCTGCCTGTTAGCATTCCTCTGTCCAGAGGGGCTTCGAGCCCGGGCCTCCCGGAGCACCTCTGTGTTCGGCATTGGCCCCACGCACCAATAAAGGACGTGCTCAAACTGATGCTAATGTGTGTAAAGCCTCCTCAGCGGGGACACCTGTTCCATGGAACAAAACATTCGCCTGAGAAAAGGCTTAGCTTACAGTGAACTGACAATGTGTGAGCTAGCTAGCTAGCCACTAGCGGAGCCTAATGTTAGCATTACAAAGCTAGCTGAATGAGTGTAAATAAGCAGAGGACTGATTAACAGCCAGGTACGAGGATAAAACTAACCATCATACATGTCTTGTTTGTCAAGAAGGTCCGTCAAGAAAAAAAACACCCACTACGCGAGAAAAAATGAATTAGCCGATGCTAGGGAGTTAGCCCGCTAGCCACCGTTAGCGTTAGCCACCGTTAGCGTTAGCCACCGTTAGCGTTAGCCACCGTTAGCGTTAGCCACCGTTAGCGTTAGCCACCGTTAGCGTTAGCCAACATGATCCTCGTCAGTTCACTCCATGGTCCCTGTCCTGCTGCAGCTGTGTCCGTGCTCCTGTGTCAGTGCTCCTGCCCCTGTGTCCGGGGCTGCTGTGGGTCCTGTCTGCACATCTTACATCCATTCAACACATGGCGCTACATTGATAGAAATGAATCAGAGTTCCTCTCAAACTTCTTGTTGCCTTCCATCACAGCCCTGTGCAACAAGGAAGTGCCCACACGCGTTAGCCGCAGAGCCGAGGCTAAGCTAGGTCTTTCTCTGCTCCAGGATCACAACAATGAGGCGAGAGTCCGCTGCTTCCCAGAGTCCAGCGCAGAGTCCGGGGGTGCTGTGGTCCTCATCCGCTCAGACGTACATCCCCGGGGGCACAGTGATCCAACTGTTCCCTGGATAAATGTAATTATGATGTGTTTGTTGGTGTGGTAGCTAACGGTACCGCTGGTCCGGGCCCAGGCAGCTTTCAAACTGCAGGCCCGCGGACCAATGACGTGCGTCTGTGTAATCTAGCTCAGTGTGACGTCACTGAGGGAACCCCTGCCGGCACAAAAACATTATACAATATATGATCTAGCTTCTTATTTATGCTAAAGTTAGAGATTTTATACTTGCTTCTTTAATATGCTAAAGTTAGAGATTTTATACTTGCTTCTTTAATATGCTAAAGTTAGAGATTTTATACTTGCTTCTTTAATATGCTAAAGTTAGAGATTTTATACTTGCTTCTTTAATATGCTAAAGTTAGAGATTTTATACTTGCTTCTTTAATATGCTAAAGTTAGAGATTTTATACTTGCTTCTTTAATATGCTAAAGATTTAGAGATTTTATACTTGCTTCTGTCTTTAATATGCTAAAGTTAGAGATTTTATACTTGCTTCTTTAATATGCTAAAGTTAGAGATTTTATACTTGCTTCTTTAATATGCTAAAGTTAGAGATTTTATACTTGCTTCTTTAATATGCTAAAGTTAGAGATTTTATACTTGCTTCTTTAATATGCTAAAGTTAGAGATTTTATACTTGCTTCTTTAATATGCTAAAGTTAGAGATTTTATACTTGCTTCTTTAATATGCTAAAGTTAGAGATTTTATACTTGCTTCTTTAATATGCTAAAGTTAGAGATTTTATACTTGCTTCTTTAATATGCTAAAGTTAGAGATTTTATACTTGCTTCTTTAATATGCTAAAGTTAGAGATTTTATACTTGCTTCTTTAATATGCTAAAGTTAGAGATTTTATACTTGCTTCTTTAATATGCTAAAGTTAGAGATTTTATACTTGCTTCTTTAATATGCTAAAGTTAGAGATTTTATACTTGCTTCTTTAATATGCTAAAGTTAGAGATTTTATACTTGCTTCTTTAATATGCTAAAGTTAGAGATTTTATACTTGCTTCTTTAATATGCTAAAGTTAGAGATTTTATACTAGCTTCTTAAATATGCTAAAGTTAGAGATTTTATACTAGCTTCTTTAATATGCTAAAGTTAGAGATTTTATACTTGCTTCTTAATATGCTAAAGTTAGAGATTTTATACTTGCTTCTTTAATATGCTAAAGTTAGAGATTTTATACTTGCTTCTTTAATATGCTAAAGTTAGAGATTTTATACTTGCTTCTTTAATATGCTAAAGTTAGAGATTTTATACTTGCTTCTTTAATATGCTAAAGTTAGAGATTTTATACTTGCTTCTTTAATATGCTAAAGTTAGAGATTTTATACTTGCTTCTTTAATATGCTAAAGTTAGAGATTTTATACTTGCTTCTTTAATATGCTAAAGTTAGAGATTTTATACTTGCTTCTTTAATATGCTAAAGTTAGAGATTTTATACTTGCTTCTTTAATATGCTAAAGTTAGAGATTTTATACTAGCTTCTTTAATATGCTAAAGTTAGATTATATTTTATACTTGCTTCTTTAATATGCTAAAGTTAGAGATTTTATACTTGCTTCTTTAATATGCTAAAGTTAGAGATTTTATACTTGCTTCTTTAATATGCTAAAGTTAGAGATTTTATACTTGCTTCTTTAATATGCTAAAGTTAGAGATTTTATACTTGCTTCTTTAATATGCTAAAGTTAGAGATTTTATACTTGCTTCTTTAATATGCTAAAGTTAGAGATTTTATACTAGCTTCTTAAATATGCTAAAGTTAGAGATTTTATACTAGCTTCTTAAATATGCTAAAGTTAGAGATTTTATACTTGCTTCTTTAATATGCTAAAGTTAGAGATTTTATACTTGCTTCTTTAATATGCTAAAGTTAGAGATTTTATACTTGCTTCTTTAATATGCTAAAGTTAGAGATTTTATACTTGCTTCTTTAATATGCTAAAGTTAGAGATTTTATACTTGCTTCTTTAATATGCTAAAGTTAGAGATTTTATACTTGCTTCTTTAATATGCTAAAGTTAGACTGCTTTAATGCTTTTATACTTGCTTCTTTAATATGCTAAAGTTAGAGATTTTATACTAGCTTCTTTAATATGCTAAAGTTAGAGATTTTATACTTGCTTCTTTAATATGCTAAAGTTAGAGATTTTATACTTGCTTCTTTAATATGCTAAAGTTAGAGATTTTATACTAGCTTCTTTAATATGCTAAAGTTAGAGATTTTATACTTGCTTCTTTAATATGCTAAAGTTAGAGATTTTATACTTGCTTCTTTAATATGCTAAAGTTAGAGATTTTATACTTGCTTCTTTAAATATGCTAAAGTTAGAGATTTTATACTTGCTTCTTTAATATGCTAAAGTTAGAGATTTTATACTTGCTTCTTAATATGCTAAAGTTAGAGATTTATACTGCTTTTTATATGCTTAATATGCTAAGTTAGAGATTTTATACTTGCTTCTTTAATATGCTAAAGTTAGAGATTTTATACTAGCTTCTTTAATATGCTAAAGTTAGAGATTTTATACTTGCTTCTTTAATATGCTAAAGTTAGAGATTTTATACTTGCTTCTTTAATATGCTAAAGTTAGAGATTTTATACTTGCTTCTTTAATATGCTAAAGTTAGAGATTTTATACTTGCTTCTTTAATATGCTAAAGTTAGAGATTTTATACTTGCTTCTTTAATATGCTAAAGTTAGAGATTTTATACTTGCTTCTTTAATATGCTAAAGTTAGAGATTTTATACTTGCTTCTTTAATATGCTAAAGTTAGAGATTTTATACTTGCTTCTTTAATATGCTAAAGTTAGAGATTTTATACTTGCTTCTTTAATATGCTAAAGTTAGAGATTTTATACTTGCTTCTTTAATATGCTAAAGTTAGAGATTTTATACTTGCTTCTTTAATATGCTAAAGTTAGAGATTTTATACTTGCTTCTTTAATATGCTAAAGTTAGAGATTTTATACTTGCTTCTTTAATATGCTAAAGTTAGAGATTTTATACTTGCTTCTTTAATATGCTAAAGTTAGAGATTTTATACTTGCTTCTTTAATATGCTAAAGTTAGAGATTTTATACTTGCTTCTTTAATATGCTAAAGTTAGAGATTTTATACTTGCTTCTTTAATATGCTAAAGTTAGAGATTTTATACTTGCTTCTTTAATATGCTAAAGTTAGAGATTTTATACTTGCTTCTTTAATATGCTAAAGTTAGAGATTTTATACTTGCTTCTTTAATATGCTAAAGTTAGAGATTTTATACTTGCTTCTTTAATATGCTAAAGTTAGAGATTTTATACTTGCTTCTTTAATATGCTAAAGTTAGAGATTTTATACTTGCTTCTTTAATATGCTAAAGTTAGAGATTTTATACTTGCTTCTTTAATATGCTAAAGTTAGAGATTTTATACTTGCTTCTTTAATATGCTAAAGTTAGAGATTTTATACTTGCTTCTTTAATATGCTAAAGTTAGAGATTTTATACTTGCTTCTTTAATATGCTAAAGTTAGAGATTTTATACTTGCTTCTTTAATATGCTAAAGTTAGAGATTTTATACTTGCTTCTTTAATATGCTAAAGTTAGAGATTTTATACTTGCTTCTTTAATATGCTAAAGTTAGAGATTTTATACTTGCTTCTTTAATATGCTAAAGTTAGAGATTTTATACTTGCTTCTTTAATATGCTAAAGTTAGAGATTTTATACTTGCTTCTTTAATATGCTAAAGTTAGAGATTTTATACTTGCTTCTTTAATATGCTAAAGTTAGAGATTTTATACTTGCTTCTTAAATATGCTAAAGTTAGAGATTTTATACTTGCTTCTTTAATATGCTAAAGTTAGAGATTTTATACTTGCTTCTTTAATATGCTAAAGTTAGAGATTTTATACTTGCTTCTTTAATATGCTAAAGTTAGAGATTTTATACTTGCTTCTTTAATATGCTAAAGTTAGAGATTTTATACTTGCTTCTTTAATATGCTAAAGTTAGAGATTTTATACTTGCTTCTTTAATATGCTAAAGTTAGAGATTTTATACTTGCTTCTTTAATATGCTAAAGTTAGAGATTTTATACTTGCTTCTTTAATATGCTAAAGTTAGAGATTTTATACTTGCTTCTTTAATATGCTAAAGTTAGAGATTTTAT